TCTAGTTGGCTCAATCAATAAGGAGCTTACGGGGCCAGTGCTGTTGTGTAACATGCCAAGCCTCTGCCTGCAGAGCTGGCAACTTATATGACTGCTCGTTAAAAATTCCAGCTGCTCCACTTCCAATCCAGTTCCCTGCGGATGGTCTGGGAAAACAGTGGGGGATGTTAGACCCCCCTGGTTGGCACGTTCATGCCTCCTCAGCTGCCACCCGCTCGGGAATGCAGCAGAGTGCCCCTCCTGTGGGCACTGTGGCCCTCAGGGTAGTCGGAGCTCGCACAAGATGCAGTGGGGCGGTTCCTTCAATGCAGGTAGACACTGCGGAGGCATTTTCCCTCTGTTTGGGGCCTGGGACAGGCCCAGGACATGGGACTGGAGCAGCCTTCCGAGCCTTTCTGAGACTGTACGGCATAGATGTCATGGCAATGTCACTGTGAGATGGGCAACCTCGCTTCTGCTGAAATCCTCCTAGAACTCCCGGAACACTGCAGCCTGGCTATGTGCAGTTCCAGCCCCCTGATTGCCCCAGTGACCTGCAACCTGTGGAGCCCTGAGGCTCAGGACTCGGGCTGCCTTTCCCCGGGGCGCAATCCCTGAAAACTACATCCGTTACTATCATCTCATTGCACCGTGTCTGCATGTTAACTCGCCTGGATGAGCAAGCTGAGTTACGGGACCCATGCCACTAAGCACTGGTTTGATTAAGTGGATTAGAGAATCAAAGTAAAGAAAAATAAAATGTAATGATTTTTGAGAAACTTTTTTTTTAAAGATTTACTTTTATTATTTTTTTATTGGAAAGGCGGATATACAGAGAGGAGAGACAGAGAGGAAGATCTTCCGTCCGATGATTCACTCCCCAAGTGAGCGCAACGGGTCGATACTATGCCGATCCGAAGCCAGGAGCCTCTTCCGGGTCTCCCACGCGGGTGCAGGGTCCCAAAGCTTTGGGCCGTCCTCTACTGCTTTCCCAGGCCACAGGCAGGGAGCTGGAAGGGAAGCGGGGCTGCCGGGATTAGAACCGGCGCCCATATGGGATCCCGGGCGTGCAAGGCGAGGACCTTTAACCACTTGTGCCACCGCACCGGGCCCGAGAAACATTTTTGCAATTAAAAATGCTTGAATAATTACAATAAAAAGCTACTTACATGATGATTGTACATAGAATTTTCTAACCCACAAAATGGACAATTTAATAAAGTCCATGCCCCCTTCCAAAAAATGGAAAGGAATTAGTGGCATTTGGCAATAATAGATAATATAGTGCCTATTGCAATAGCTTAATTGGCTAATCCTCCACCTCCAAGTGCTGGCATTCCATATGAACACCAGTTCATGTCCCATCTGCTCCACTTTCCATCCAGCTCCCTGCTTGTAACCTGGGAAAGCAATCAAGGATGGACCAAAGCCTTGGGACCCTGCACCCATGTGGGAGACCCAGAAGAGGCTCCTGGCTCCTGGCTCCAGATCGGTCCAGCTCTGGCTATTGTGGTCACTTGGGGAGTGAATCAGTAGATGGAAGATCTTCCTCTCTGTCTCTCAATTCTCTGTATATATCTTCCTTTCCAATAAAAATAAATAAATAAATCTCAAAAAAAAAAAAAGAGAGAACAGGTGATTTTCAAAGATCAGAAGGTTTCCGTGGTTCAATTTTAGGACTTCAAAGAAAATGCAGCAAACCAGCACCAGAGTTGGGAACCAAGGACTGTGAGGTGGAGAATCTCCCTAACCATTCCCAGCAAAGCAGTGTCCCGGGGAAGGCTCAGAGCTGGCTGATGCAGTGCGGTGCAGCAGCTTGGGCGTGCAGGAGCTCGTGGAGGCCAGAAAGGCTCAAACACCTCACTTTCCGAGGAGAAATTCTTACCATCCTTGTTGATGTTGTTTTACACCGTGTTTTGAGGTCAAATATTGCATATCAATACCTAGAAACATTTAGCCTTTGTAATTTTAACCACAAAAACCTAGCGAAAGTATTTTCACAGAGCTCATGTTACTGTGTCTGAGTGCAACTTGGGAGCGATAAGGATTTTAAAAAAAGATTTATTTTTATTGGAAAGGCAGATCCTATTTATAGAGTTAAAGAGACAGAAAGATCTGTCCGCTGGTTCACTTCCCAAATGGCCACAATATTCAAAGCTGAGTTTACCCAAAGTTGGGAGCCAGGAGCTTCTTCCAGGTCTTAATCCAAAGCCTTGGGACCCTGGACACTGTGGCCAGTGTTTATGTAGGAGAATTCCGGTCCCGGGAGTGGGGTGCGAGGAAGGCAGTTCCACTGTCACGTGACCTCCTGGACCAGCTGATGCCCACTTGGCCATCAGCAAATGCTCGCCAGAGCTGTACATTGCTGACCAACCAGGAGGTTGGCCAGAAGCTGCACGTGCGCTCTCAGCCCCCAGTTTCAATCTCCAAAAACTTCCCTCACCTGCTGAGACTCTGGGGAGCCCAGGAGTTAAGGCAATAGTGCTTTCCACCTGCCAAGGGCTTCTGTAGCAACGCCTAGCCGTGTGGGGTAGTTCCACAACAGCAGCCACTCCGGGAAGCCTGCTTCTGCTCTCTGTCACAGCTCTTCGAAGGACGGGAGGAGGAGAAGCAGGTGAGAGTTGGAGCTCCAAACAGTATTCACCTGCGTCAATTCGACTCCAAAGACAGCTACATTTCTAGATGAACTTTGTTACACTGCACTGTTATGAAAGGGTAGCCATACATAGGCCGAAAGTTGCAAAGCTGTGTATCATGATCCCAGTGTTTAAGAAAAAAAAAATGTGCGAAAGCGGAAGTTGATATCTGATAAGTTATAAAGTTCACGGGAAGTATTACAATACTACGCATGCTCTATACTGCATTCAAAGTTTGATTTAGTATAACACTGACTACAACTGGGCTTTTTCAAACTTTCAGGGCCAGCCTTGCGGTGTGGTGGGGAAAGTGGCAGAAGATGGCCCAAGTCGGGAGGCTCTGCCACCCTGGTGGGACCGCGAGGAAAAACAGCTCCAGGGTCCAGCTGGGGGAGTGAACCAACCAACAAAGCCACCTCTCCCTCTGCCTTTCAAATAAACAATTCTTAAGGGGGGGGGGGGAGGCGGGGAGCAAAAACGCCAGGGAAGCTTTGGTCCGAGACACAGCTTAAGATTTTCCTCACGGAAGAACGATGAATTAGAAAATGGCTCCTGGAATACGTAATTAAAAGTTTATTTTGGTGCAGAACGCTTCCAAATCCACGCGTATTTTGTGTCCTGATTGTCGGGGTTAGGATGACGAGGCAGGAACCTGGCGAAGTTCGGGAAACCGTGGACTGTGGCCAAGAATTCCGCGCTAACTGCCGGCATCGGCAGGCTCCAACCTCACGGCGCAAACAAGGAGAGGGGCACGTCCCGTGACCTCAGGGGTCCGAGGACTCTCTAGGGAAGCGCTCCAGCGGGCCGAGCCCTTTCGGGGCTTCCAGAACGCTAAAGAGCCGGCGCACCGGGGTCTGGCCAACAGGGCGCGCGCCTCCGGGACTGGGGGCGACTGGGGGCGGCTGGGGGCGACTGGGGGCGGCGGGGGGCGGCGAGCCCGAGAGGTCCCCCGGAGAACGCCGCGCCCCGCAGCGCGCACCGACGCCCCGCGCCAACCGGCTCCGTGCGCTCGGGCAGCCCGCCCTTCCGCCCGGCCCGTGCCAGGCCCTGGGCGCCGAACGCCCCCACGCACGGAGCGCACTCCCCGCCCGGAGCCCGCGCCGCACGCCCCCGCTTCCGCCCGCCGGCCCCACGGCCGTTGACTTTCAAACGGCGGCTGCCCGCGCTCGGCCATTGGCGGACGCGGCGCCGGGGACGCGCCGCCCACGAGGCCACGCCCGCGCGCACCTGGGGCCCTGGCACTCGGCGTCCGCTCGAGACGCGCGGCTCGGGAGGTGCGCTCGTGGCTGCGGAGTGGCCTGGTCGCGGTGAGTCCGGGGACCCGGGCCTTGGGGTGCGAGCCGCTCGCGGGGCCCCTGGCCAGCGTGTGTGTGGCGGGGGGTCGTGCGGGCTGGAGTCCTGCGTCCTTTCGCTCTTGTCCCGCTCGGAGTTGGGTTTTGGTGAGGGATCCTTCCACCTCGCCTTCGAGCTCGCGGGGGTCGGGGCGACGACGCCGGGGCGCCCCAGGACGGGGCCTGGAGACGCCGGTTCGAGACCTTGCAGGAGGCACCAGCACTGCCGTCTTGTGCGAGGTGCGCTGAGGGCGTACTAGGAGTAGATGAAATGACGCCTGGCTCTGAGAGGTGTTAGGTGGACCTGGCCCCTGGTCGGGCTCTGCGCCGGAGAGAGGGGCGAGCCGACCCTCCCCCCCCCCCAGTGTGGGGGGCTAGCCTAAATCAGGGGTGCTTCCCAGGACGCATCTTCCCTTAAGCTGTTTCAGATCACCGCAAACGTTCGTTCCATCATCACTGTTGTTGATCAGTATTATCGAGAACTCATAAAAACTCTCGTAATAATAGGCCCTTTGTGACAGTCGTGTTTCATTACCAAGTCGCAGGGAATTTTCCAGATGCAAGCGAGGGCTGTGCTGCAAGCTCCAACAGGTAGCCGCCGGTCCTGGGGAAGGCAGACACCAGAGACAGAACACCCGTTTCCAGGACCGCCTGTCGTGCTTCTGGGGAAAATAAATCCGAAGCATTAAGGAGAGAATTAATTTTAGAATAAGAGAAAAGGAATCTGGAAAAGATTGTAGAGAAGATAAAGTGTATTCAACAGCGTCTAAACCAGGATAGCCAGAAAAATATCTGAGTGCCAGGAGATTAAGTCTTCAGTCAAATATTAACTCTAAGGTGAAATTTTTAAATCCCTTGGAAAAAAGAGGTCGATGCGCTTAAGATGCCAAGGATACTGTGAGAGGAGCGAAAAGTCTCGCTCTTGTCTGACCTACACTTTAAAAATAGTGGCTGCCCTTCTGTGTACTCTTGAGGAAATCTTACAAGGTTCCTGGCGCGTCAGCACTCACGCGGCACGAATCGCAAAGTGCATTGATTTCTGCGCTCGTTTAGAAGTTGGGCCCCGACGTGCGGATCGCCATCCTTGGAAGGACAGTACTGTTATTCAGACAAGACCAAGTTTTGACGCTAGGTGATGTTTTATATTGACTTTCAGAAAAAAAATGTTGCTGAATATGTTCCATGAGGTGTATTCCTCTTCGGGTAGAAAAGGAAAGGATTACAAATTTCTTCGGTCAGTTCCTGGTTCAGTTGCGTTAATACTCTGTTTTTTAGTATAGGAAATAAGGTTGATTTCAAAATCATTTTAAAAGGTTCGAATGGGCAGAGTTAAAATCAGATCTGACTCTTAAGATTTTTTTCAAATTTTGAGTTGTGACGATGCTTCATTGCTTTTGCGTATTTGTATGAGAAAGGTTTTGCAAACATTTTGTTATGTTTGTGGGTGATTCAGCTGTAATTTATTCCATAAAGATTTGTTTTATGGTTTGAAGGGTAGAGTTAAGAGAAGGAAGGACAGATCGGCCTTCATGGGCTGGCTCACTTCACAGAAAGGTGGCAGCGGCCAGTGCTGGGTCTTTCTGAAGTCAGGAGCCCAGGCAGGTGCAGGGTCCCTGCCACGTGAGCCATCCTCTGCTGCTTCCACACTATTAGCAGGAAGCTGAATTGGAAGTGCAATGCCGGGACTTGAACCGGTGCCCATGTGGAGTGCTGGTGCTGCAGACCGAGGCTTAGCTTGCTGCACCATGGTGTCAGCCTCTGCAGTAGTGTTTCTTAAAGAAGTGTTGGTTATGGGAAATGAACGCTTTTCTTATCAGTTCGGCCCACAAAGTTGCCAGCTGCATCTGGGAGGCGCACCACCTGAATTTTCCCAGACTTAACTGCTGACTCATTCAAAGCCAAGGTCTGCAGCTGATTCTGATGTGGTAAATAGGATTTCTTTTCCGAGGCTGTAAAATGTATTGAATGTGTTATTATCTACGTCTTGAGGTAAAAGACAGTAAAACGTTAATAAATGCAAAAGTAATGTATGTAAAAGAATGAGTAATATACGTTAAAAAATATCTGAGGGGCAGCAACGAACGCCGCTGTGTGCGGGTTCTCTCCCCAGGTGCCTTCGGGATCCACGCAGGTGCACCCTGAAGCCAGGGGTAGCCAGGAGCTTGTCTCCACCCCGAGCTGGACTGGATCCTGGCCCCCACGTGGGTGGCGGGGACCCAGGAGCAGCACCTGCTGCTTGTCAGGGCGCTGAGTTGGGAGTGGAGCCCGGTCCAAGTACTCCGGTATGGGACTCGGTGTCTGTACCTGCTGGGCTCTGTGCTCACCCGGTGATTTGATATGACTCTATTATCTGTTATTGTGATACCTGTTGGGGAACTGTATAGAAAATTGGCATTCTGCAGAAAAATTTGGAAAATCAGAAATGTGTTGGCTTAAATACAAGAAATTAGTGAAATAACTTACAAGTAGATAGTTCAGGCTTCGGTTTTTTTCTGGGCGGTTCCCCCTCCCCTTTTTTAGTTTTGTATTTCTTGTAACTTTCATGAAGGAAGCAGGAATTGAATTCAGTACCAGTTTTTATTTAGATTTTTGGTATTCATGGGGTAAAATAACATTTCCCCCCTTTGCTTTTGGTGCAAGTCTGGGTCCCATGTGAGAAAGGCTGTTTTGTTTCTGAGGTTTTTTTTTTTTAAGCTTTATTGAAAAGGTGGATTTACAGAGAGAAGGAGAAGACAGTCTTCCGTTTGCTAGTTTACTGCTCAGGTGGCTGCCCGGTCGAAGGCGGGAGCTGTTCCTGGACTCTGCGTGGATGCGCAGGCCAAGGACTTGGGCCGCTGCCCTTCCCGGGTAGGCAAAAGCGGGAAGCTTTTAAGTTAATTCTGCCTGTCCTCATTTATTTTCTAACTTTCTTTAACTTGGATGCTCATTCTGTGTTCCTTCTTTTTGCTTGTGGGAATGCACGGTGTCAGCTCCACGCTGTTAGCGGCCGTCAGCGGTTGCTGTGAGAATGTTGGTTGTTTCACAGTAACACTGGAGCTGGGAGCTGGGTATCCTTGTCCGTCGTTTTCCTTCTAGGCCTTGGGGACGTCACTACAATCTTTTCTAGCATTGCTTGTTGCTTTGGGAGTGTTCTGGTTGTCCGTTGCTGTGTGACAAGCAAGATTTGGCTGACTCCGTGGCTTTCTCAAGCACATTACAGGCCGCTGGTTCGGAAGTGGAGCAGCCAGGACTTGGAGGGCGTTGGCATGACAGTGTTAACCTGCTGGACCAGCGCAACCCCATGCTCTTGCTTTTGCATACTTCAGAGCATCCCGTGGAGGCCTAGGCTGTCCCTGATGGGCGTTCCCTGGAATTTGTCATCTTTCTGTTGTTGCCTGGGTCCTTTGATTTTTTTGAGTCAGTTTCCTGGGACACGTGGGCTCATTAGGCTCGGGAGTGTGGTCACTTTAAATGGCGGATTTCCTGGTGGACTCTCATGTTACAGCTTTTTCCATGCAAAATAGATTTAACTTTTTAAAAATAACAAAACAAAACTCTAGGCTCTCTATTCACACTGAGCTGGAGAGAGTTACTCATTCAGGCAATGAAGTGAGTGTCTCAGCGTGCCGAGTTCTGTGTTGAGGTTCCGGGAGTGCAGCTGGCTCAAGCGCAGGCGCTGTCCTGGCAGGCTTGTGGCTCTCGCTGTGCGCTGTGAGCCCCATGCATTGTGTGCATTGAGTGTGGCAGACAGGAAGCCAGGTACTGTAACCGAGAGCCTGAAGCGCTTTTGTTTATTAAAAACATGATGTTAACTTTGCTGTTGTTTTCATAAACCTAAACATGAAAAGTTATAAAAGAATTTAGTTACAGTTACATTTTACAGGAGTAGCACTCCTGTTTAAGGTATTTTGTTTCAGGCTTAATGGTGGGAATTGATGTCCCAGGGCAGTCCTGCCTGAGGAATCGGCTTGCACTGAGAGAGCAGATACGATGCAGACCATCAGGGCTCTGTTAGTGGAAGCAGCAAAGCTTAAAAGAAAATCCAGCACCGTTGCGGTGGGCTGGCTCAGCAGTTGAGCGTGCTGCCTGGTGTCCCTGGGTCCTGTTGGGAAGGACGCCTGCAGTCCGGCTCTGCCCGTGGTGGCCGAGCCAAGATGGGTATCTGCTGCTGAACTGAGTTGAGTCCCAGGTCACTTTGGGCATTTGGGGGGCAAACCAGACGATGGCAGTCTCGTCTCTTGTTGGCCCCTTAAATAAATGAGTAATTTTTAAAGGATCTGTTTATTTGAAAAGCAGAGTTAGGTACTTCATCCTCTGGTTCACCTCCCAAATGGCCACAACAGCTGGAGCTGGACCAGTCAGCAGCCAGAGCTTCATCCAGGTCTCAAGGCAGGTGGATGCAGGTGCTCAGGTACCTGTGCCATCCCCTGCTGCTCTCCTGGGCACATCAACAGGGAGCTGGATTGGAAGTGGAACACCAGGGAATAAACTGGCACCCGTGGGCCTGGGGCAGTAGCTTAGTGGCTTAAGTCCTCACCTTGCAAGTGCTGGGATCCCATATGGGTGCCAGTTTGTATCCTGGCAGTTCTACTTCCTTCTAGCTCCCTGCTTGTAGCCTGGGAAAGCAGTGAAAGATAGGCCAAAACCCACGTGGGAGACTCGAAGGAGGCTCCTCGCTTCGAATAAGCACAGCTCTAGCTGTTGAGGCCACTTGAGGAGTGAACCAGAGGATGGAAGATCTTCCTCTGTGTCTCCCCTTCTGTTTGTAAGTCTGATTTTCCAATAAAAACAAAGGAACTAGCATCCATACAGGATGCCGGTGCAGCAGGCCGCAGCTGTACCCACTATGCCACAGTACCAGCCGCAATAAACGCCTTTTCAAAAACAAAAGTGATGTTTTGCTTATTTGGAGTTTAAACATACTATTCCAATTCAAAGCAACTAAGAAATGGTATTTATTAATTTCCTTTAGATTCCATTAGTCAGCTTCGAGGTCTTTCCTTTTCGATGAAGGAATGTAACTGTGGTGAGGTCCGCCTTGTCATGTTGTCCTAGAGAGCAGTGCCTTTGCATAATGTGTTCGGTTTTGGTTTTAGCATCCTAGTTTGTGAAAAGTTACACAGCACAGTTGTTAGTGGATGTATTCATTACACATAAGTAAATTTGAGTAATTCAAAGCATTTTACTACAAATTAATGGGAATTGTTTTGTTTGAGGTGATTTTCATTATAAAGGGCTAAGTTCTTAAATTTATTTAATATTATATGCTAGGGACTGAATTACTGAGAAAGCTGCATTTTAAAAAATATCGTAGTAAAGAGTTCAATTTAAAAAAATTTTTTAAATAATGAGTATTTTTTACAATTTTTAACTGTAAGTTCTTATTTTGATGTTGTTCCCAGTTGAGAGGGACGCATGCCCTGTGGGCCTCTAGGCAGGGTCCAGGTGTGGAGGAAAGCGGATAGGGTAGGTATTTCAGATTTTCTTGTGTCTACAGCAAGGCCGCTCCTTACTGTCACACCGTTAGCACCTGGGGATGCGGGACGGTCATTTGACACTGAGATATCTGGATGTGGAAGACTGTTCCAAGGTTGTTGAGTGTTTTTTTTTTTAAAGATTTATTTTTTTTATTGCAAAGTCAGATATACAGAGAGGAGGAGAGACAGAGGGGAAGATCTTCCATCCCATGATTCACTCCCCAAGTGAGCCACAATGGCCGGTGCTGCGCCAATCCGAAGCCAGGAGCCAGGAACTTCTGCCAGGTCTTCCATGATGGTGCAGGGTCCTAAGGTTTTCAGCTGTCCTCGACTTCCTTCCCAGGCCACAAGCAGGGAGCTGGAAGGGAAGTGGAGCATCTGGGATTAGAACCGGCGCCCATATGGGATCCTGGCACGTTCAAGGCGAGGACTTTAGCCGCTAGGCCATGCCACCAGGCCCTTGAGTGTGTTTTTTTAAGACTTTTTTTTTTTTTTTGCAAAGGCTGATCAGATTTACAGAGAGGAGGTGAGACAGAAAGACCTTAACAGCTGCTGACTTACTTCCCAAATGACCACAGTGGAGGGACTGAACCAAACCGCAGCCAGGAGCCAGGAACTGTTCTCCCAAGGCTTTGGACTGAACCAAACCGCAGCCAGGAGCCAGGAACTGTTCTCCCAAGGCTTTGGGCCGTCCTCTACTGCTTGCCCAGCCCATAGCAGGGAGCTGGATGGGAAGTGAGGCTGCTGGGATACGAATTGGCACCCATATGGGATCCCCGTGCTCCAGGGGGAGTTAGCCATTGGCCATTGTGCTGGGCCCACTGAGTGGTTTTGATAGTTCTGAGACACTTGTCACCTGGGTTGCACCGGGGTTGAGAAAATCTTTCCCAAGTCTGTTGACTGTCTGAGTCCACCTTAGTTCATCCATGGAGCCAGATGCTTGCTGCAAAGCTTGGCCAGAAGACTCGGCCAGACTGTACTTTGCATCCTCTGGCCAGGCGCGCTGTGTCTTCTGGCCTAGGTGAGCTGGCTGTCGTCCCTCTGTGCATCGATTCATTAACAATGCAAAGGTCGGTGCCTGAAGCTTTTACAGTATGTGAAGATGTGTGTGTTATGTAGACTGAAAATATATTGTATTCTCTTAACAGGAAATGCACAATTTTGAGGACGAGTTGACGTGTCCCATTTGTTACAGCATTTTTGAAGACCCTCGGGTACTGCCATGCTCTCACACATTCTGCAGGAATTGTCTGGAAAACGTTCTTCAGGCATCTGGTCACTTTTACATATGGAGACCTTTACGCATTCCACTCAAGTGTCCTAATTGCAGAAGCATTATTGAAATCGCTCCTACTGGTATCGAATCTTTACCTGTTAACTTTGCACTCATGGCCATTATTGAAAAGTACCAGCAAGAAGACCATCCAGATATTGCCACCTGCCCGGAACATTATAGGCAACCGTTAAATGTTTATTGTCTGCTAGATAAAAAGTTAGTTTGTGGCCATTGCCTTACCATAGGTCAGCATCATGGTCACCCCATTGATGACCTTCAAAGTGCCTATCTGAAAGAAAAAGACACACCTCAAAAACTGCTTAAACAATTAACAGACACACACTGGAAAGAAGTTTCTCATGTTATTGAGAAGTTGGAAGAACAAAAATCTCTTTCTGAGAAAATGGTCCAAGGTGATAAGGAAATTGTCCTGCAGTATTTTAATGAACTCAGTAACACAATAGAACAGAAAAAAAACGCCTTCCTGACCGCTCTCTGTGATGTTGGCCATCTGATTAGTCAGGAATATTCTCCCCAAATTGAAAGAATGAAAGAACTGAGAGCGCAGCAGCAGGAGCTGATGGCGCTGGCGGCGGCGCTGCCCGAGGAGCCTCCCCTCAGGTTCCTGGAGAAGGTGGACGAGGTGCGCCAGCGCGTGCAGACTCTGAGGCAGAGCGCGCTGCCCGAGGCGCGGCCCGTGGAGATCTGTCCTCGGGTAAGCCACGTGCTGAAGGAAGAGTGGAGCAGAACAGAAATTGGGCAAATTAAGAAAGCTGTAATTCCTAAAATGAAGATTTCTGCAAAAAGGATACCACCGTGTTCTTGGCCTGAAAAGGATGACAGAGAAGTTGAACTTTTAAAACTTGTAAATACTGCTATTGTTACGCTAATTGCAGTGATAATGATGGTAATGCTATTTTTCAACCAACACATAATCACCTTTTTAAATGAGATCACTTCAGTGTGTTTTTCTGACATTGCTCTGTCAGTTTACCAAAGTTTATCTAAAAATTTTCATGATGTAGAGACTATGCTATCTCATGCTTTATACTTGTTGAAGGAATTTATCTGGAACTTAGTTTCTCATTGAGTCGTTTGGATGGGCTTGCTCTGTGAGAGCAGAGCCTAAGCGTTGTTAACTAGAAACGGGTAGAACGAAGAGCATACTACACTCGGTGCAGCACATATAAACATACCTGTTAAATCCTTTGCATTTCTTTCAAGTTGAAATGATGTATCAATGTTAGAAACGACACAGAACCTGGAATATTCAAGTCAGTGTTAGGAAACCGTGCGGGAGTGTTGTGGTCATGTGGGTTAAGCCTGCAGCAGGCATCGCGTGTGGCTGCAGCCCGGCTCCCTGTGAAAGCAGCGGGGGCTCCCCCGCGCCTGTGGCTTCCTGCGGGAGACGGTCCAGCTCAGCTGCCACTGCGCCATGTGGGAAGTGAACCAGCACAAGGTCTGGCTCTCTTGTCTGTAACTGCCCGTCACAGAAATAAAAACATGTGAAAACGAACGTGTACTAGTGACTTGATTATAATGCCAATACATTTCCATATGTTTTCTGACTCGACAGAGGTAGACTTAAGGCTGTTGTGACTGAAGCGTTTTTTTACACCTACTGTCTTTTGTTATTTAAATGTAACATAATGGTTGACTTTGCAGTTCTTCCAGCATTTAGATTAAGATGGCAACATAGCCACAGTGTGTAGGCCTCTGTTGTGATGTGCTGGGAGCTGTTCTCCCAGGGAGCAGCCAGGTCCCCAGAGCAGGTGAGCTCACACGTGAGCAGGGTCGGGTAGCTGTAGGCTGAAGCGCTTCGCATTTTTGATTGGGAGAATAAGGATGGTGATTAGGTTTAAACTCAAAGGAACAAAAAGTGGTAAGGGGGTTTGGGATCAGAGATACCTGGGCTCACACTTCAGATGTGTTCAGTAGATTTAGGAGTCTTACTGTATTCGCTCACATTAATTCGAGATTCATTGCTTTTGAATAATTTGTTAGGGAACAATGATAATTCTCTAATGCTTATAACATTCTGTAGCTTGTATATTTTTTTTGTATTATCAAATACATTATTGAATTAAAAATCAAAATGTCACATCAAAACATTTGTTTTGGTAGTATGTTCCAAACTCAGTTGATTTTAATGGCATCATATAAAATATCTGAGAAGTCTTACTGAATTTGGAATACGCCAGGACATGAGTGGCGCCCATACAGGATGCTGGTGTTTGAAGGTGAGGACTAGCCTGGGAAGCATCGGCCCCTGTGGTAGGAATCTGTAAAATCAGGAGTATGTTTACCTGTCGACATTTCTGACATTTTGTTATACCAGTTTTTTTTATTAAGTGTGCATATTGCTAAGCATGTAACTTATAATAAATGTTTTTCTATCTTTACTAGCATGAGTACTCAAAGTATGTAACATTTTGACAAACTAATTTGCATTGAGTAGTTTTAATAAGGTACTTAGAAACGTGATTTCTGTATATATTTTAAATCACTATCGCTTCAGTACTCTGCTACACTGGTTACTTAAATGTAGTCAAAAGTTCATTATGTTAATATCAGTGGCAGAGGACTCAATTATAATCACAGCAGTTTATAATTTAACAGGGAAGGAGGAGTCCAGAGAGAGAGGTATCTTCCATCCAAATGACTGCCAGTGGGCGGAATTGGCTCACCTGGCGCCAAGAGCCAGGGTATCCCATAAGGGGGACAGCCCAAGGATTTCCTAGGACATCAGCAGGGAGCCATATAAGTGTTGCAGGATACTCAATCCAGCATTCCCAATGCGGTATGCCAGTATGCCAACAGCACCTTAATGTCTTGATTGATAACAAATCTTGCTATAAACTTAGGCCAGTTTACATTCCTGTTACAAAAACAAACTTGAAATTTGTAAGGCATAGTTAGGGAGAAAAAAGGTCTTCTATCTTATCTGCTGGTTTATTCCCCAGGCTAGAAGCTTCATCTAGATCTTCCCAGTAGGTGAAGGGGTCCAAGGACTTGGGCCAACCTCTGCTGCTTTGCCCTGGCACATTAGCAGGGAACAGGACCAGAAGAGGAAGTCAGGACTCTGTAGCAGGTAGTAATTGGTCCACTATGTCACTATTGAATTTTTAATACATCAAAAAAGTCCAGGTGAAGCTATTCTAAAATGGTTTCTGAAAGTGGGTACAACTTACTCCCAGTAGGGTAACATGGTTAACAGCACTCCCATGTATTATTAAGGAAGTATAGTTTTTAGTTATCTTTGTCACTTAGCCTGATCATGTTCAGACACTGTTTAGTAGCTTTCTTCAACGCTAACAGTGCTGAAATTGTGGCATAGCAAGCAAAACCACCACCTGTGTTGCCAGCTATCTTATGTGGCCACCTGTTCACGTCCCAGTGAATGGCCCAACTTCTCATCCCACACACAGATGGTTCAAGTGTTTGGGCCTGGCTACCTGCGAGGGAGACCTGGACAGTGTTCTGGGCTTTGGTCTGACTCCACCATGACTATGATGTTCACTTGGGGGAGAAGCAGTGGATGAAGATCTTGCTCTTTTAAAGAAATCTTAAAAAGGCTAAACTTTTACAACTAAGTGTCTACAGTCTTCATAATTTGGAATGACTGGTTTGTTTATATAGTAAGGATAGTGATCACCTACATTGACAATTTAGTGGAATGCTTTAACAACGTGTTCAAGTTGGGAAGCTTTTGCAGTGTTGGACGAAGGGCCACAGGCACGTAGCACCTGTTCACACCAACTGCGTGTCTGAAATACATCTCAAACTGAGCCAGCTAGGGCAAGGCAGCTCGCCCCCAGTCGGCCCCGCAGCAAATGGCCCCTGCTTTGCAAATGCAGTTTAAGAAGGTTGAGTTGTACTGGAGGTCACGGGAGTCGAGGTCAGGAATGAATGCACACAGGACACCTATATTCAACATCAAGTGGCTGGGTGCAATGTCTGTTTCTCCCAATTACAGCTTTCTGCTGAAAACAACACACTGTGTGGGAACCAGGACTGAGTTTCTGGCTCCTCAATTGGTTGGGGAGTAAGGGCTTTGAGTCTTAGAAAAAGCAAAACAACAAAAGCCCTCACAATTACTGAAAAGCTTGTACAAAGAAAATTTTATTGGACTTATGACTTAATTTACAGGACAAAATAGAAACAAGACTTATGATCTAGTTTAGGAATATACATACAGCTTGTTACAAATACAAATTAAGCAATATAATACACAAAATGTACACCCACTGAGTTTGAAGTCTTCACTGAACACATTCAGCACAGTCCTTTAGCTGCGATCTCTTTTGGATTGACAGCTACGCTTTTTGTTATGTTGTATGTCTTGTAAATTCCAATAAGTCTATCTGAAATCTCAAACATGTTGTTACGAAGAGAGATAATTATGAACTGGGCATTTTTGGTTTGTTCCTAAAGAGAAAGCACAGAACATTAAGTAGTAGCAGGAGAATCAAGCTTTACCTTCCTCAAATATTATTTGGGCAATAAGTTTAACAATAATTAAAGTGAACAGGAAGGAATGGATAATTAAACTACTTGAGCTTGAGAGGAATTAACTTATTTTTGGAAGCATGATTGCCTAAAAGCTGCCTAGTGGAAAGAAAAATATAGAAAGATCGGGCATTCTAGATGTGATCTTTTTTGTATAACCAGTTTGTACCTTACATGTCTAAATTGGGAATATTTGGTGTATTTGGAAATATTTTTGTTCCCCATACATACCAGAGGACAAAGAGAATAGGAAAAAGCTCCCGTGTAGTATGTAAGGGACCACAAATACTGTAGAATGAAACCACCTTATCTGATTACTTACGTATATATAAAATGCAACAATGGACACGTTTTTAAAATCCAGGGCTGCGTCAATCTCATCCATAAAGTACAGGGGAGTGGGCTTGTAGTGGTGGAGAGCAAACACCAAGGCCAAGGAGCTGAGCGTCTTCTCTCCCCCCGAAAGGTTGAAGATCTTCTTCCAGCTCTTCTTAGGTGGCCGGACACTGGAATCATTAAGACAATCTCTTATTACTGTGAGGCCGAGTGGATTTTTTTCCATAATTAACTTCTACCACCCTCTTCCCTAACAATCTAATCTGCTTGTCAAATTTCCCAAGAGGATAGATAGGCCATTGTATATTGAAATTAAAATGCCACACTGAACCCCATGAACATACACACTGCTATGTGTCAATTAAAAAAGAAAACACCAAAGTTTAAAATTCAAAGAGCAGGCTAAGTACTTCCTGTACTATTTTTAAAACTCAAAGCACAGTGAAATCCATTATTTACACTTTATAAGCTACCAGCATAAAAACACTGTTATCAGAGCCACGTTGGAGATTTAACCTTCAAATTCCACCCCCAGCAGCTTAAAGAATGAGAGTACTTTTTAGTTTGTGGAAAAGTGGAATGAGTTTATTTGATCAGAAGAAGCTGAACGGCTACTATCTAGAGATAGAAACAGTGGGATTCAAGATCCAAACCTGAACATGATTCCTTCCGAGAAAGGATCCAGGCTGTCCACCAGCTCCAACTCGGCATCTCCGCCCAAGGTCAGCATCTGGTAATTCTCTTTTAATTTATTTGTTATGACGTAAAAACCAGCCATAAATTCATTAAGTCTTTGTTTCCGAAGATCTTCATATGCTTGTCTAAAGTTATCTCTTTCACAAGTGATTTTGTCCAATTCTGCTACCCGTTGCAAATATAATTCTTCCTGTGAGAAAATCAATTCAGATATAAACCTGAGACAAGACCTTACATTATTATACAAAATTAAAAGCCAGAATTTGGGCAAAGTTCTGTTAGATGTAAACCATTTATACCTTCTTCTTATACTCTGCAATGGCACCAAGATTTGGTTTCATTTCATGACACTGAGCTTCCAAAAGTGCAATCTGATTTGTTATGGAGTCTGGAGTTTTGATTGCCTCAAGATCTGCTGGGCTTAAGACTGAAACCTCTTCAACAGGATTATCTTCAATGGGGTGCAGTGATATTTTTGAGATCTAAAAATTCAATTTAGAAAAGTCACTTTGTTATGACAAATCAATGACCAATCATGGCTATCAAGTTGCATGTAGTTAATTTTCATAGCATTTCAAGAAAAAACAGCTGTAGCATTCCAAATGGTTCATGTAGTCATTTTTTGTTAAATCTTCAGTTAAGTTCTGGTGTAAAAAGGCAGTTGCCTAGTTCTGCCCATCAGACTTTCCCATATATTACTATATTGCGCATTATTCCCTTCAGATCTGAGAAATGGCAGCACAGTATCAGGACACATACCTCCACAACCAGCTCATTCACAGAGTTGACAGAATGGCTGAAGAACTCACCTCTTTTTGCCAATACTTTATCTTAGAATTATGTTCCGAAATGTGGCCATCTATCTGCTCGAGTTTCAGCTTGATGCTAAGTGCATCCTTCTGCAGACTGTGTTCGTTCTCTTGAATCACTTTCAGCTCTTGAAGCAAACTGCGGTGTTCTTTCTGGATCTCCGGCAAGGACTCCTGAAAAGCAACAACTCCCCAGATAAAACTGTCCTGACCTCCTAAATTTTGTGTTTTAAATCGAGAAAACATTTTAATTCATACAAAGTTTCGACAGTTACCACTTGTTTTTAAATGTTGTGCTTACTGTAGCCAAGGCACTGAGATGCACCCGACTCTGATTGCTTTGGCATTCACCCTCCTTTGTCCAGTATGAAAACAAGTGTTACCTCTGCAGCATTTGTGTTTTTGATGACCTCTGCTGCTTTATCCTCAAGACTTTTTAGTTGTGCTGTTAAGTCTTCCACTTCTTTCTCAGTGTCTTTTATTTCCTTCTCTGTTTGAGTGACAGACTCCTGTGCTTTCTTAAGATTTCTAAGTGACATGAAAAGGAGATGTTACACTGCTGCTGAAAACCTAAAACAACTTTTCATGACATTCAACGTGACATATTTTCCTAACATGGATTTTACGATTTACTGAACCATTTTTTTGGATTAGTTTTTA